TGTAATTATTTAGCCACTGCCCCACGCAGCAAGATGTGGCACAAGGCTGAGTTTTAACATGTATAAGATGTTCAAGTTTCAGAGCCACACAAAGTTGACAAAACGACAGCTTTTTACATTTATATATATATATATATATATATATATATATAGTGTAACCCGGATATAAGAGAGTTGTCGGGACCGGAGAAGAAGTCTTATATCCGGGTTTCTCTTATATCCGGGTTTGGTCTACTTTATATACATTAATACAGGCTCTAATTTGGGACCAGAGAAAATCTCTCTTATATCCGGGTTTCCCTTATATCCGGGTCTCTTATATCCGGGTTACACTGTATATATATATATATATATATATATATATATATATATATATATATATATATATATATATGTGTGTGTGTGTGTTCAGTTTAGATTTGTCGTGGCCCGCAAGATTCGAATCTACTTCCCAAAATATTTTCCTACCCGCTGCTATCGAGATAAACACACTAGCAAGCGCATGCGCGCTCACGCGTACACAACAAAACAAACAAAAATATCTCCACAAAACACAGAACAAAGCCGACAGTTCGTATGAAAAAGCGGATGTGTAGGCAAGAGAATGTATAACTGCTTTCTTTGGAGAGGGAAAATATTGGAATGTGGGTTAATGGAGGAGCGAGAGAGTGAGTAGAAGGTTCGTTGGTTTCGTTTCGTTTTGCTTTGTTCTATTCCGTTTTAGTATTTTTTTTTTTGTTTCCTTTTTATTTTCCTTCTTTTTTTGTCAGCTAAACACTTCCGGAATCTGAAATGATTTACATTTCATCGACTCCCGGTAGTGTCGGGCAATGACGCTTAGATAACAAGTGGTAAAAAAAGATCAATGGTTAAAAATCGCATTGAGCGAGTGAAACTTGTGGATCATAGCGAAGACCATCTTTCTTCAAAGATTGTGGACCGGCGCTAGAGAAGAACAAACAAAGAATTGGGACAAGTAACAGAAAGTACACCACTTGAGGATTTTCAATAGCAGCAACATTAAAAATTGGCATCACATGTAAGTCGAACAGAAAATGAGGACATAATCAGGATGTTGAAGTTTCACACTTAGGTGGAAAGCCCCCCATCCATATTGGAAAGAGCAATAACGGATCTTGTCAAGAAAAGCGAACCCACTTACGGCTATCTATCTATCTATCTATCTATCTATCTATCTATCTATCTATCTATCCCAGTATATGCTTATATCTATCTATCTATCTATCTATCTATCTATCTATCTATCTATCTATCTATCTATCTATCTATCCCAGTATGTGCTTATATCTATCTATCTATCTATCTATCTATCTATCTATCTATCTATCTATCCATCTATCTATCTATCTATCTATCCCAGTATCCATCTATCTATCTATCTATCTATCTATCTATTCTGTCTCTATCTATCTATCTCTGTCTCTATCTATCTATCTATCTATCTATCTATCTATCTATCTATCTATCTATCTATCCCAGTATGTGCTTATATCTATCTATCTATCAATCTATCTATCTATCTATCTATCTATCCATCTATCTATCTATCTATTCTGTCTCATCTATCTATCTATCCATCTATCTATTCTGTCTCTATCTATCTATCTATCCATCTATCTATCTATCTATCTATCTGTCTATTCTATCTATCTATCTATCTATCTATCTATCTATCTATCTATCTATCTATTCTGTCTCTATCTATCTATCTATCTATCTATCTATCTATCTATCTATTCTGTCTCTATCTATCTATCTATCTATCTATCTATCTATCTATCTATCTATGTAATTCTGTTAATATCTATCTTACTCTGTTCATCTCTCTCTGTCTGTCTCTGTCTGTCTGTCTCCTCTCTCTCTCTCTCTATATATATATATATATATATATATTAGGTATCTCCAAAGATTCGGATCTTGTCCAGATTAGCGAACCCACTCACGGCAGGGTTTGCTATTCTTTACAAATGATTGGGATCGTTATTCTTTTCATGAGAATAATCGGGCTCATCTGTCTGTCTGTCTGTCTTTCTAACTATACATCTATCTGTCCCAGTATGTGCATCTCTCTCTGTCTTTCTCTCTCTCTCTATCTATCTATCTAATTCTATTTTTATCTATCTATCTATCTATCTATCTATCTATCTATCTATCTATCTATCTATCTATCTATCTATCTATCTAACGTACCTCTAAAGATTCGGATCTTGTCAAGATACTTTACAAGATGATTGGGTTCGTTATTCCTTACATGAGGATATCCAGGGACCCGGGACAAATTATGAATGAAATTTAAGATTTATTATTCTAAATAAAAAGAAAGAAAGAAGAAAACAATTATTATTAACGAGGAAGAAAGACAAAAGAAGAGGAATTAAGTAAAGAGAAGATAACGATTGAAATAACATTTAAATTTAAATTTTGAAAATCAAATTTGACCGGAAAGAAAGAGACCGGAAGAGTTGTACAACCGAGAAGTGGACAGTGAAGAAAATGTCAGCATAGAACATTGCATTAATTTATTTCAACTTGTAAAATGATGAGACCTAACCGCCAATCTAGTACTGCGTTTAAATTCTTAATGTCTCTGTAACAAAGAACATCACACCAGAAAAATTATCAGGAAAATATTCATAGAAAATGTTTATTGAACGATAAAATTAAATGGATCTTGTCCAGATTAGTAAACTTACTCATGGCAGAGTTTGTTATTCTTTACAAGAAGATGATAGGGTTCTTTATTCTTCACATTAGAAAAATCGGGTTTGCCATTCTAGTCGTAGACATTTTGGTACTTACAACTTTAAGGTCCATTAGCTGTTTTCATATACTTGCTTTAATTTATTAATTGAGATATCCAGGAATCTTCAAGATGGGTAGATCTACGATCACGAAGATTGTGAAGCTATTAATTGGGGAGGATTGTTTAACATTGATTGACTGGATGAAGAACAAATCACTTAATTGACGGGAATTAAAATATAAATCATTAAAGATGTTTATAAATTGGAGAAAATTCAGAGTCTCTCTGGACGATGGTGTGTAGAAGTGCCAAATAAAAGATTCTTCATGGTATTAACGAAATGTAGCAATAAGCAAAGACATATTTTTTTTACTGAAATTACTGCAGTCGATTCATATATATTTTTGGTGCAATAAAATGAGGTGGCAGGAAACTTCTCGTGTTGTAAATATATCTCACCAGACGATAGGGGATTTTTACATCTTCTTTTTTAGAGAGGTTTGCATGGGACATTTTGAGCTTTATCCTATAAAACTTGGTGGACCTGGGATACAAGTTGAAATCGATGAATCGTGATTTTTACACCAACCAAAATAACATCGAGGAAGGGACCCTAAGACTCAAGTCAGGGTTTTTTGGCTTTGGTAGATATTAGTACATCACCGGCAATTGGGTAAATGAATATAGTTGAGCACGGAGACCAAAAGGCACTCCTGCTAATCATCGAAAAAATTTCGAGACATGGATCAATTATTCACAGCGATAAATGGAGAGCTTACAGAAATCTAGCTAATAATCCAAACTTCCAGCACAAATCCGGCAATCATTCTTTGTACTTCGTTGAACTGAAGACAAGCATTCACACACAACATATAGAATTATATTTGGCAAAGCATCAGGTTAAAATTAAGAACATGCGAAGATGAAAAAGCAGTTTTCTACAAAAGGTTATTTAAATCAGTTCATGTGGATGGAATTAAATACAGTTATTGGGACTCTGTAATGCAATCACTATACAATATCCTTTCAATAACTAAGTTATTTTAATTGTTTTTACACGGCAATGAATAATATGTTATTTTAATTGCTCATTTATCAATAAACGTACTCATTTACATTTCCATCATTGCTTTTAATAAATAGAACATATTTTGTCAAGGGTTTGCTATTCTTGACATGGGGATGATTGGGTTCGCTTTTCTTGACATAATGTTTGGTACGCTAATCTTGACAAGATGTTCAATAACAGTGGTTTTGATGGAGAAACCTATTTTCTTGAAAAATTGCTTTGAGAGAAATGATTCATAAATTTAACCGCCAATAACACTGACTGCTCAGTCATTAGATGCCGAATGTTTCCTTATAAGGAAACGGTTAATATTGACATTAAGATTACCAGGGTCGTCATCTCAGGAAGGAGAATGAATATAATCTCCATCGGAATCTAATTTTAGCCAGAAGGCCTAAGTGAAAATTGAATTCGATTTTGTTACGAATTTCGGATCGAATACAAACAATATAGGAGTGTCAAAAATGTAATTACTTAAATAATAATAAGAAAAGTTTCTGCTCGATTATACAACCGCAGACAAAAAGAAATTGCATGTTTAAAATAGCACCAAATTAATAACGCAAAAACGGCGAGGACGACTCTCTCATTCTCTCTTTCCCCATCTGTCTGTCAGTCTGTCTATATCTATCTGTCCCAATATGTGCTTATCTCTCTCTCTCTCTCTCTCTCTCTCTCTCTCTCTCTCTATCTAATTCTGTTAATATCTATCTTACTCTGTTCATCTCTGTCTCTGTCTATCTGTTTGTCTGTCTGTCTCTATCTATCTATCTGTCCCAGTATGTGCTTATATCTATCTATCTATCTATCTATCTATCTATCTATCTATCTATCTATCTATCTATCTATCTAATTCTGTTAATATCTATCTTACTCTGTTCATCTCTCTCTAACTCTGTCTGTCTGTCTCTCTCCCTCCCCCCTCTTTCTCTCTCTCTCTCTCTATCTCTCTCTCTCTCTCACTCTCTCTCTCTCTCTCTATATATATATATATATATATATATTAGGTACCTCCAAAGATTCGAATCTCATTCTGTGCTCATCTATCTATCTATCTATCTATCTATCTATCTATCTATCTATCTTATTCTGTTCATATCTATCTATCTATTTATCTATCTATCTATCTATCTATCTATCTCATTCTGTGCTCATCTACCTATTTAATTCCGCTCATATCTATTTTTCTATCTCTCTCTCTCTCTCTCTATCTCTCTCTCTCTCTCTCTCTATATATATATATATATATATATGTGTGTGTGTGTGTGTGTGTGTGTATGTGTATGTGTGTGTGTGTATCACATCTTGTTCATCGAAATAGTTATGCACAGAAATGCATTAATACGATCTACCTATCTCAGTCGGTTCGGTTCATTATCTATCTCGCCCCCTTCATATAACTAATAGCATAAACAAAAGCAGCTACCATAATAATAATAATAATAATAATAATAATAATAATAATAATAATAAAAATAATATTAATAATAATAATGATAATAGTAATACGAATAATAATAATAATAATAATAATAATAATAATGGCAGCCATAATATAATAACAATGATAATTATAGTCATAAAAAATATCTTATTGAAACATATGTATATGAACACGTGTCATAGTCTCGTTGGTGATGAAATCATTTCTATCGATCTCGACTATTCGTTTTCTTAGTCTCTTATTATTTATTTTCCTTTGTATTATTTTCAAACTGTTCACTTTCGAACTGGGTGCTGCAAAGTGGGGTAATCGTTAGTTAGCTAGCCTGGTTGACCATTGCTATTGAGTAGTGATTTCGATCCTCATTGGGAACCCCCCCTCCCCTATACTTGTGGCCTGGTGACAATACTCAACTCCTTCTCAGTCAATTCCAGTTCATGTTTCAGTTAAAACACAATTTCCGATTTGTCTGTCTACTTTTACTGTTAAGACAAATGATTCTTTACGTTTTCTTATGATCAGGTTTTTATTCTCTTAATTGTATCTTAAGTTCAGTGCAAAGCTTTGATCTTAAACTGTAGATGACTTTGAAATAAAGTAATTAAAATTATCACGAGTTGGTGAGAAAATTACACGTTGAGAAAATTAACTGGGGGAAAAAAAAAGTTTGAAAAAAAAGTCAAGTAGAGATAAACGGAAGGAGAAAGTAACGTGAAAGCTAAACGAAAAAGGAACGAAAGAAAAGAAACAATTGATTGATTCGTTTTTTACGGTTCATCAACCTTTTGGAGTTTATTTAAAACCAGAAAAATTTTTTAGATTGTAAGAATTTTTTTGAGATAATAATGCTTTAGTGATACAAGTCTTAATTATTAATTAACGCATAGAATAGAAGATGTCGATTCAGGCCTTTCTCACGGGTATTTGCGCCTGTAAATATAACGAAAGCAACGGGAATTGGAACTCGACTCTCCCGTTAACAATTCTGAGCCATTATCGACAACACTTTTTTTTTTCCAAACGGTCATCGATCTAGCTACTGACCAGGCTCGGTATTTTGACGTAAGACAAAAAGAAAGAAAGAAAGAAAAAAAGAAAGAAAGAAAAAAAGAAAGAAAGAAAGAAAAAAGAAAGAAAGAAAAAAGAAAGAAAGAAAGAAAGAAAAAGAAAGAAATAAAGAAAGAAAAAAAGAAAGAAAGAAAGAAAGAAAGAAAGAAAGAAAAAAGAAAGAAAGAAAGAATAATAATGGGAACAACATGAAAGAAACGTAGAAGAGAAGAAATAAAAGGTGTTGTATGAAGAAAAAGAAGGCGAATGAAAAAAAGAATGAAACAAAAAATGAAGAAAAAGAAGGGGACAAAAAATAAAGAAACAGAAATGAGACAAAAAAATGAAGAAAATAAAATGAAATAAAAAAAAATGAAGAAAAAAAATTAAATAAAAATTAAGGAAAAAGAATGAAACAAAAAATGATGAAAAAAGAATGAAATAAAAATGAAGAAAAATTAATGAAACGAACAGCGAAGGAAAACAGATGGATAAAAACGACTTCGGTACACGAGAAAGAAAAGAAAAAATTGCGAGAACGAAATAAGTGGGCGAAGAAAGAGAAAACACAAAAAGAAGTAATGAAGAAAGAAAAAAGAAAAAGTGTTGAAAAAAAAAACGAAGCAAATAAGGAAATAGGTAACTTCTTTTGTGGGGGACAATCGATCTAATTCTCGTTTTGTATTGAAACGATGCTTGACATAACTTTAATTTCATTAATGTGACCCTAATTAAAAAAAGAACATAATTCTTTAAGGAGAAAATACATTAAAAACTTAATCATAACATTATTACCAACTATAAATACATACCTAAAGCTTTTCATTACATAACCATCTATTTTTTTAATCCATTCTTAAAGAATCTAAATATATCTATCTAGAGAGATATCTATGAATAAAACAGGAAAACGAAAATATAAGGTACCCCACAAAATTTGTTGGATTTTTTTGTTACAATTATTTGAAACAAAAGCAAAGGATAAAAATTTAGGAGCTTAGAACAAAAACACAAACGTATGATGTGCTGTTCAAACTAAAGAACTTTGGTAAAACTTCTTGGGATTTTTTCAGCTCCCAAGTTGGATGTTCTTTATTAAAGAGAACAATTACCTCGCGTTGAAAATTTGAAAATCTCGTAACAACAAATAGTTAAAAGATTTATGTTCGTTAATTTTTTTAGTTCATTCGTATAATAAAATATATAATTTCTTTTATAATGTTAGTTAATTTTTTTCATCATATAGTAAAATCTAAAATTTTCTTTTTTTTTTTTTCGTAGAAATATGGAGAAAGCAGTCTCAAAATATTTCTTTTCTTTTCACTAAACTGTTTCTGATTTCAGAGCTAACGCGCATGCGTATTTACATGTCAATGAGAAAGCTGTGCGTGTTTGATGCAGATACGTTAAATCGAATTACGAAGCGAATCGTGCACGCAACATTTACTCATTAATTAATCGCCAACCTGTCATCCGGCTACCCCAAACCGAATTACAGAAAAGATGAAGATTAAAATTGATCAACCTGGAAGAGATGAAAGGATGAAACGAATTGAAGGTAAAGTCGAAGCTTAACGACCAAACTGAAATTAAAGACTAAAAAAAATAATAAATAAAATAAAACGAGAATTCATGTCGTCTGCTGATTGAAATCCTTATGTACTGGACCGTTGCTTTGGTTATATATCTCGAGATTCTTGATAAAACCCAAGGAAGAGTCTGTAATGTCATTAGTCTTGACCTGGCATCTCGACTTCATTGTCACGTGGCTTCCCTCTGTCTTTTCTACAAATATTTTCATGGCAGTTGTTGTAATGAATTCTCCTCCTTGTATTCAATGTAAATATTCATTAGTGTTTCATTTTTAAGTGTCGTTATTTTTATTCCCCACTCCCAACAGGCAAATTATACATATGAGGACTAGTCAGGACTACATAGAGACTTTGTGGTATTATAGTGGCTGTAGTAAGAATGGTAAGTAAGAATGTGTTGTTTTGATGTAAGAAATATTGTGGTATGTTTGGCTCAGTAATCGTGGCTAGCTAAGTTTAAGGTAAGACAGAATGAAGGTAAGACAGAATGAAGGCTAGCCTTCCCTCCCCCTTTTGGCCTTGTGCCACACTTTTGTTTTACATCAAAATAAATATTACTCTCCTTCTTGGTACCTTGACCTCAGGAATTTAAGCGTACTACTCGATTGGCAATTAAGTCTCACCGTTTTACTGTTGGATGTAACCGTAATTTCTATTCTAATAATTTCTTTGCTTGCACTTAACACCTGTCGAAGTTTCTGCTGATTTCTTGCTTCCCTGCCAACTACAATCTTCAAAAATGTAAATGCAACATCAATCGCTATCTTCTGTCTTCCTGAACTTTGTTCTTTTATCGTCCTTTCTCCTAGCTGAAGTCTTCTCATGCTCTTCCATTTCCAATGAACCCATGCGTCTTAGTGGCATTAGCACTTTGCATGGGGTGAATTGATTACAGAAGAAATTTACCACAGGTGCAAGACTTGAATACGCAAGTAGTGCAGGAGATAAACGGGAACTCTCATTTTCAACGAGATTTGACCGTTGATTTTGGAAAGTATTTTATTATTCATACCAGGAAATAGAAGATGGTCTGAATCGAAATCAGTGTCAATGTGGAAAATTTGGTCTAAGAGAAGTTGTAGATCTTTGTATATAATAGGTTTCACTCCAAATGATACCAAAATACACTATGCACTCAGTGTCTCACCAGAGCGTCAGGGAATGTGACCTTATAGCTACCAGGTCTAGATTCACGCCTCACAGAATGTCCATGGCTGCCCCAACATGTAAACAACTTATCGATCCATCTACGTATAGGATGTGCCCACATTGAATGATAGAACGTAATATAAGTGCACTTCCAGAAACGGAATGGGTAAAGACTCTCTAGCAACCCTGTGAGAAGTAGATCCTCATTCCTTTCCATTTCAGGATTGGAGAGAAGGTATGTAACACATTTCTAAATTTTGTAAGCATATTCCGTCTCTAGACCCCCAACAAAAAAACAAAAAAACAAAAAAAAAAAACAACAAAAAACAACAAAAAAACACAAACTTAATTTAAATTCTTCCTAGTTTTCCCAAGCCGTCTTTATTTTTATTATAAATATGGAGGTAGTTATCACGACCAATAGACTCATTCACACTTGCATGTCGGTTTGAAAATATTCTTAAAGGTAATATCTTTCTACCTACTCATCAAGGAAAACAATCTGCATACTATGTTTGTAGATAACATGAATGTACACCTTTATGCCATAAATTGAATTCAGAAGTAAACAGGTAAGATTTGTAAATCGTTAAGTGAACTCATCATTTCAATAGGACATACCCAAGTGAGCTTGACAAGTGAAAAATAGAATTCGTTTATTAATACAGGTCTAAATATGTCAAGTCAAAAAATGATTTAGTATTTTGTTAGGTAACGTTTTGCATTACTAACGGCCTTAATTCTTCGTGGCATGTTTTAAAATAAAATTCTTTACTAAGTCAACGTCCTTTGTCAGATTTCTCCAGCATTTCCTTAATTCGCGAAAAAGCTCATCTTCTGTGTTAGCTTTCTTATTACGGACAGGCTTGTCCATTATCACCCAAAGATTTTCAATTGCGTTAAAGTCAGAACCCTGTCTAGGTCATTGGAAGAGT